AGAATAAATTTGTAATTAATAGGCATTCTTGAATTTTTCAGATTTTTCGACCGTATAGTTTTCTTTAAATAATTTTTTGAAATAATTTAAATTTTTAAGAAAAGAAGAATTTTAAATAATTGAATTGTATACGAAATATAAGAATATATATTATTATTTTTAAAGAGTTATATGAATATAAAAGAATGAAATTTAAGGTACAACTTGAAATTAAAAAATGAGATTTCACCATATCATTTTGTGTAAAATTAGAGTACGAAATTTTTATTAATTCTCTTTAATTATGAAGTCACGCAAGTGAAAACATAGCGTCATTTCTAGAATTATCAATATGTAAATTAAATTTAAATAATCACTATAAACAATTTTCTTTTTTAATATTTTCCATATAAATATTCATTTTTATTTTAATGAAAGTAGTATTATGAAAATATTTTTTCACAACAAATTAATCTTACTGTTTAAAGGTTATTTATTATTTTTTTTCTAAAAGATATGCCAATGGCAATTTGTATTTTGTATATTTTTATATTTGATAAGAAAAATTACGTAACTCCCTTCCACTTTTCTAAACTGGAAAACATTTTCTTAATACTACGTCGTAGTAAAGTTAATGGAGCTAAATATGGCAATGCAAGGTTATTACTGTTTCGCAGTCTCGCTCATTTTACTGATGCTATCATTGGCACTATTATAGCTTCTACGATTCCGCTGCATCACAACGTGCATCAGTCATGAACGATTTATAGTTAAGAGTACATCGATTTATTCGACTAAGCGTCATTTATCTTCCAAGAGAAACAAAATGACTGTCGTGCTAGTGTCTCTGATTTTTGGGGCGCTTATAGCCTTTTACTTTTACTTGACGCGAAATTATAAGTATTGGCAAAAACGTGGAATTCCATATGTGGATGGAGCTCTGCCAGGATTCGGTAACATGTTGTCGGTGATCTTAATGAAGACGGATCTTAGTGAATTATGTCGCAAAATCTATAATGATAACAAGGGTCATAGCATGGTCGGTATCTATGACTTTATGTCGCCAGCATTGATGATTCTCGAACCCGAGCTAGTAAAAACAATAACACAAACCAATTATTCAAGTTTCGCTGAAAACGCCATCGATATTAATCCCGATGTAGATCCGCTCCTTTCACATAATCCTTTCGTCCTTACTGGTGAGAAATGGGTGTACAACAGAAAGCGCTTGTCTTACGCATTCTCCAGCATGCGATTGAAGATCCTGCTCGAAAGTGTCAAACAAGTGTGTACAACATTTGAAAATTACATGAATGAAAAGCTGAACAATAACCAGACAGAATTCGAACTGAAGAGCTTGTTCGCCAAGTACACCGCACAAGTAGTAGCCGCCGCTGGTTTCGGCGTTGATGGATTCTGCTTCGATGACGAGAAAAAGGATATGTCCTTCAGAAAACTTGGACAAACCATTTTCGAGCCATCTTTACGAAATTCAATAGTGTTTGTTGTCACGTTTCTCGTGCCATCATTAAATAAAATCTTTAAACTAGGTGTTATTCCAAAGCACATAGACAATTTCTTCAGGACACTGGTTGCAGAACTCATGGAGCAAAGAAGAAAGGATGGAATACCTAGAAATGATTTTCTCCATTTAATGGTCGAACAGGAGCGAGCGGAAGACGATAAATTTGACCTTGAAATGATTACGGCCCACGCAATGTCGTTCATCATCGATGGCTATGAGACCACCAGCAGTGTCATGAGCTTCATCGGATTTGATTTAGCCCGTCATCCAGAAATACAGAATAAATTACGGGAGGAAGTGTTATCCGTAATTAATAAATACAACGGAGAAATCACTTATGAAGGCTTGAAAGAAATGACATACATGGATCAAGTTTTAAACGAGACACTGAGATTATTACCCGCAGGAGTGATTATGAAGAAACGATGCACGGAAGAGTTCGAACTGAAAGGATCCGATGGAATTGTTTGTCGTGTAGAACCCGGAATGGAGATTCTAATACCAGTTCAAGGTCTGCAAAGAGATCCTCAATATTGGGAAAATCCCGAAGAGTACGATCCTGAAAGATTCAGCTCGGATAGAAAACACAGCATCGATCGATTCGTGTTTCTTCCATTTGGCGGAGGCCCTCGAGCCTGTGTCGGTATGAGAATGGCTCAACTACAAATAAAGGCAGTTTTGAGTGTAATTTTAAGAAAATACAGGATGGAATTATCTCCGAAAACGCAAATACCTTTAAAGATAATTCCTGGTACCGTTTTACCAACACCTCTAGGAGGACTGTGGGTTTATTTTCAGAAGCTTTAAATGTAAATATCTTTTTCATAATAAATTTCTTTTTAGTTTTCAGTATCTAGTTTCTAGCGTCATAAATAATTTTTATGTCCAAAGGAAATATTTATGTAATCTTTACATAAAAATGAAATTCTTTTCAAATTTAATCTATTTTAATTACTGTATTTTTACACAAAAATAAAAAAGATGGAATTTTATTATTTTTTATAAAATATTTTCTTATACGTATATTTTTAAAAGTTCTTCATTCATTAAGAAAATAAGAAAGAATATAATCTTTGTACAGAAATAAAAGATCAGGATATTTGCAATTTTACAACGTTCTTTACAACGTTTCTAACATATTTTATATAGGATGTTCCGTTCAGACATAATAAAAAATTCACAACATAAAATATAATAGTTTCAATGACAAATTATGGATATTAATTATAAGAGCAGCTCTGAATTTTTTAAATAAAATTTGCGATTTTGACATGCAACGTATGCACAGAAGCGATCTATTTCCGTCATTAGAGCGACTTCTACATTGTCATATGGACACAATAGTAGAAAGCGTTTTATGAGTTATCGCTTGCGCAATTAAAGCGTCCATGACGCTTGTACAGCACGTTTCAACTCGCAAACAACACGATACACTTTCCCCTGTGGCATTCACGTGGCGATTGAAATAATAGGTATATCCAGTAGCGCAACTGCTTATTAAGCGACTGAGTACCAATTTCATTATACAATTGAATTTAAATGTTGGTTCTAAAAATAAGAACCAGTCATATTTAATTGCTGTTTAACTTAGTGAGTAGTTACGCTGCTAGACACACTCAATGCAAGAGATGTAGACAGTTTTTGCATATGCTGAATAAAATCTATATACTCTCGATAAAATCACAGGGTTTGTAACTTTATAAACAAATATTATATGAATTTAAATAATGAGAATAAATCTAATTAAATACGAAAAATTCTATTTTCATTTTATATAAATTCACACAAAATATATTTAAACATTAAGATCCTGCTTTGATTGAATATAGGACTTTTCATATTTAATTATATTTATAAAAAAATTTCAAGCCTACTTTTTACAATGATATCCACATTTTAACATTAGAACTAGTATTTCGTATGTGTTACATCTTTTAATCAATAATAAAATGTTCAGCGTTGATTTTTATATTTCCAATTTGTTATTACTGATTTAATAATAAAAAGCCTTTATCTATTACCATAAATTTTTCATGTGTCATATCGTTATCATTTAAGCAAAAGCAGTGAGTATATAATATAATTATAAGTTTTTAATCTAATAAGAAAATAAGAATTTTACCACATTTAAATAATGCATTTTTATATAAAAATAAAGAAGTATTTTGAAATTTTGAAATTCTTTATAATATGTTTGTTTGTATGGTTATATAATAATAAGTTTTACAACTTCTGATTTTATTATTTTCCTAGAAAATTGTCAAAAATACGTTTAACAACTGATATATTTGTGTATATGTATAATATTATTAATCATAAACTATTTATTTAAAAATTATGCAATTTAACGTTGTTATCATAGAAAAAAATATTTAGAAAAAAATATTTTTACACATTCTAGAACGACAATCAGTCACAATATAAGTGATATTTGGGGATGCAACTAGGGCATGAATTTCATAAAAATAGAATAGTAAACACTAAATAAATAAATTACTTCGGATGCTTCAACGTCACACGATATCATCTACGACATCCTTCTCCTTCTTCTCCTTCCACTCACATATCTCATCTCAGCATTTTTTTATAGCATTCATACGCACTTACGATAAAACCAACAGAAATCCTATATACATACATAAAAATTAAATAAATATAATACAATCGTAAAACATTCTAAAAGTATAGTTGTATAATATTTAATTTATAATAAAATATATAATAAAAAGTATATACAGATAAGTTTGGTCTCGTTTAATATGTAATAAAATATATGTAAATAAGTTTAGTCTCTTTTTATGAAATATAAATATTAATCTATCTCTTAAAATATACAGCAAATAGCGATAATGGAATACAGCAATCTAATAAATCTTTTATGTCTATAAATAAAAATTCTTTTAAATATTATCCGCTTTATTTTATTTTATAATTTTTATATGAAGATGATCTGTTATAAAAAAGTAGAAACGTATGTTAGAATACTTTATAATTAATAAATTTCAATATTAGTTTCTATGTAAATATTGTTTGGCATTATCATCCGTAAATCCCTAATCTCTGTATTATTATATCTCTGTATATTTTATATAATAAGTCTTTATTATACGAAATTGATGTCATGTTCATTTACTTGGTAAAGAATTCATTCTTTCTTGAATTAATGCTTTCTTGAATAATGCAATATGTCACTGTTATGTAAGCAACAAGAAATAATTTAAAATGATATTCTTTCAAATTAATCCCTTCTATTATATACACATATATTTCATCATTAAAGTATTTTTATCATTTTGTTTCCAACACATTGAAACATTCAATAACAAAATGATCGAATATTTTTTAAACATGTTGAATTTGTTTTTTTTCCTTTAATGACTATAATAATATAATATAAAAATCAATTTCTTCTACACAATTGTAACAGAATGTTAGTAATATTATATAATAAAGTTTAGCGATATAAATTGCAAATTTTTATTCAATATCGTTCGTTTTATTGCGTTATCAATGTACTTTAGCATCAATTTTACCACATCACGATCATTCGTAGATGATATGTGGTCAGGGTCACATCGATTTATCCGATCAAACATTACTTGTCGTACGAGAGGAGCAACATGACTGTCATGTTAGTGTCTCTGATTCTCGGAGCACTTATAGTCTTTTATTTTTATCTGACACGAAATTATAAGTACTGGCAAAAACGTGAAGTTCCATATGTAGATGGAGCCTTGCCGGGATTTGGTAACATGTTATCGGTAATCTGCATGAAGACGCACATCGCCGATTTCTATTGCAAGATCTACAAGGATAATAAGGATCACAGCATGGTCGGGATCTATAACTTTACATCACCGGCATTAATGATCATCGAACCAGCACTAGTGAAAATGGTGCTGCAAACCCATTTTTCAAGTTTTGCTGAAAATGCTGTTCATATTGATAAAGAATCAGACAGCCTTCTGTCATATAATCCCTTCGGCCTTTCCGGTGAGAAGTGGTTAAAGAGCAGAAAGCGATTGACATACGCATTTTCCAGCATGCGACTAAAGATCCTGCTTGAAAGTGTGAAAAAAGTGTGTGCGACAATGGAGAATTACATGGACAAAAAGTTAAGCAACAAAGAGACAGAATTCGAACTGAAGAGCTTATTTTCCAAATACTCCGCGCAGGTAGTAGCTGCTTCTGGCTTCGGCGTAGATGGATACTGCTTTGATGATGACAAAAAAGATGTATCTTTTAGAAAACTCGGACAAGCCATCTTCAAACCGTCGAAACGAAGTATAATTGCGTACGTTCTTGTATTTCTCATTCCATCGTTAAATAAAATCTTCAAACTAAGTCTCATCCCGAAGCACGTCGATAATTTCTTCAGAACATTGGTTGCAGAACTCATGGAACAAAGGAGAAAGGACGGAATACCTAGAAACGACTTCCTCTATTTGATGGCTGAACTGGAGCGAACAGAAGGGGATAAATTCGATAATGAAATGCTCACGGGTCAGGCAATGTCATTCGTTCTCGACGGCTACGAAACATCTAGCAGTGTTATGAGCTTCGTCGGATTTTATTTGGCTCGTTACCCAAAAATACAAGAGAAATTACGTGAGGAAGTAATATCTGTATTCAACAAATACAATAGTGAAATCACGTATGAAGGTTTGAGGGAGATGACATACATGGACCAGGTCATTAATGAAACGCTGAGATTAATACCCGCAGAATTGTTGATGAAGAAACGATGCACGGAAGAATTCGAATTGAAAGGATCCGATGGAGTCGTTTGTCGCGTGTCACCTGGAATGGAGATTTTTATACCAGTTCAAGCTCTCCACAAAGATCCTCAATATTGGGAAAATCCGGAAGAATATGATCCTGAAAGATTCAATTTGGACAGGAAACAAATCGATAAATTCACCTTTCTTCCATTCGGCGAAGGCCCGCGAATATGTGTGGGTATGAGAATGGCCCAGCTGCAGATGAAGGCAGGTTTGGCTATGATTGTGAGAAAATACAAGCTAGAATTATCCCCAAAGACGCAAATGCCTTTAAAGTTCATTCCTGGCACCATATTACCAACACCTAAATGCGGTGTATGGGTCTATTTTCGGCAGCTTTAAATATTTTCTTTTAATTTTTAATCATTATGTTTTTTTTATATTAAGACAAAAGATTGTAATTCATTTTTATGTAAAAATACATTTAAAAAATAGTGTTCTTTTCAAAAATAGTGTTCTTTTCAAAAACAAATCTTGTCAGTTTTAATATGCATTCTTGCAATAAAAATTGGAAAGATATTTGGTATTTTATTACGCAAATATTTTTATAAACCCTTAATTAAATAAGGGAATAAACAAGAGTGTAATCATATTTTTGCAGAAATAAAAGATCAACGTAATTAGAATTATGTAATTTTTAAAATATTTTTTATATAAATGTTATAATGTATTGTAAATTCTTAGTTTATTAAGAAAATAAAAATTTTATCTTAGATTGCTGTATACTTTAAAAAAATAATAAGTTTAAAATTCTTGAATTTTTGCAATTAAAAAAAATGTATTTTTATAACAAACAATAATAAGTTCTCTCTTGCTAACTTTGACTAATGTTTTGAAACGAAATAATCAGAAGTATATTTAAATGGATATTTTAAATGAATCAAATTTATTCTACTTTTTATTAATTGTTAATTATTTAAAAATTTCGTAAGTTTTGTTTCGGTATTTCAGAATGTAACACATTCCAAAGATTAAAAAAAAAGACTTAGAAGAAAATATTTTCTCACATAATACAAAAATCGTATTATATAAACACAATTAATTAAAAAAAAATGTTAAATTATCAAAATATACACACTTTTTAACAAAAAAAGCATAAATCTGTGCAAAATTTTTTGTTAAAGAATATATTCACGCTTCACGCACGATGTGCATGTGATGTATTATTTATTTTCCCTAAATGTGATAAAGCTAAATAATGAATTACATGTCCATCACTGCTTGAAACAAAAGAAATATGATCAAAAAGAATACATTTTTTGTATAGAATATTCCAAAATAGCGCACAGAAGGTGCCATTTGTGCTCCGGATATGACTGATCCGAGAATGATTAATTTCACAAGCAAATAGCAAATAAATAATATACTCATAATCTTTCACTTCTTCTCTTTCTCTCTCCCCACTTTCATATCTTATCTGTTCCATCCTAACATTCATCCTCATGGCGTCATCATTAAGAAATATTTAACATGGAATTATTTTGCACGCATCAGACAAATACATAGAATTCTACTTGTCATTTTAGATGATATTATATAATCAGTAATGTACTTCAATGATGATACTATTATGCATGTAATGCTGAATTGCAATTTGACTTGAACTTCTATATACTTATCTTCATAAAAGCTTCATTTATCAAAATAATAGAAAAGCATGGAAAATAACATCATTGAACTACTGAAATTTATAGAATGAGTTTTCAGAGATTTGTGCATAAGATTACAACGTGTAGCTTTTCAAAATTTATTATTATAAAAGTTTTAAATATATTGTTAATATCTTAATATAATTAGACTTATCTCTTACTATTTTTGTCTAAATAAGTCAGAAAATACGTAACAACAATTAGAGTTAAATGAAGAAAAGTTTATTTCCTTATTTAACATTGTTATAAAACTTTGTATGTATAATGTATAACGTACTACAGATCACGTAACATAGAAAGCGACAATAAAGTGAAGGATGCATTTGTAGAAGAATGAATTATTACAAAATTTTGTAATATGCTGAATATATTTTTTTATATTCACTTTTTAATGATTATGAGGATCAATTTAGTTTTCGCAATAGAGAGAAAATGTTAGTTACAACTTTATGGAGAAATAAAGTTCACTTGGCGGAATCATCAATAACACAACATATATTACTGTTTTGAAGTCTCATTCATTCTCCCGACTTATCAACGCTATCAATGTAATCAAGTCTCAGCTACATCACTACATTCCGACCTGCAGTTCTGAATGATACGTGGTCAAGTCTACATCAATTTATCCGATCAAGCGTTATTTCTTGTCCAAGAGTAGCAACATGATCGTCGTGCTGGTGTCTCTAATTCTCGGGGCACTTATAGTCTTTTACTTTTATCTGACACGAAATTACAAATATTGGCAAAAACGTGGAGTTCCGTGTGTAGATGGAGCCTTGCCAGGGTTCGGTAATATGCTATCGGTAATCTGCATGAAGACGCACATCGCCGATTTCTGTTACAAAATCTACAAGGACAATAAGGGTCACAGCATGGTTGGGATCTATGACTTTACATCACCGGCGTTAATGATTATCGAACCGGCACTAGTAAAAGTGGTGCTGCAAACACATTTTTCAAGTTTTGCTGAAAATGCTGTTCATATTGATAAAGAATCAGACAGCCTCCTGTCATATAATCCCTTTGGCCTTTCCGGTGAGAAGTGGTTAAATAGCAGAAAGCGATTGACATACGCATTTTCCAGTATGCGACTGAAGATCCTGCTTGAAAGCGTGAAAAAAGTGTGTGCGACAATGGAGAATTACATGGACAAAAAGTTAAGCAACAAAGAGACAGAATTCGAACTGAAGAGCTTATTTTCCAAATACTCCGCGCAGGTAGTAGCTGCTTCTGGCTTCGGCGTAGATGGATACTGCTTTGATGATGACAAAAAAGATGTATCTTTTAGAAAACTCGGACAAGCCATCTTCAAACAGTCGAAACGAAGTACAATTGCGTTCGCTCTTATATTTCTCATTCCATCGTTAAATAAAATCTTCAAACTAAGTTTCATCCCGAAGCACGTCGATAATTTCTTCAGAACATTGGTTGCAGAACTCATGGAACAAAGGAGAAAGGACGGAATACCTAGAAACGACTTCCTCTATTTGATGGCTGAACTGGAGCGAACAGAAGGGGATAAATTCGATAATGAAATGCTCACGGGTCAGGCAATGTCATTCGTTCTCGACGGCTACGAAACATCTAGCAGTGTTATGAGCTTCGTCGGATTTTATTTGGCTCGTTACCCAAAAATACAAGAGAAATTACGTGAGGAAGTAATATCTGTATTCAACAAATACAATAGTGAAATCACGTATGAAGGTTTGAGGGAGATGACATACATGGACCAGGTCATTAATGAAACGCTGAGATTAATACCCGCAGGATTGTTGATGAAGAAACGATGCACGGAAGAGTTCGAACTGAAAGGATCTGATGGAGTCGTCTGTCGCGTGTCATCTGGAATGGAGATTTTTATACCAGTTCAAGCTCTCCACAAAGATCCTCAATATTGGGAAAATCCGGAAGAATATGATCCTGAAAGATTCAACTCGGACAGGAAACAGAACATCGATAGATTCACCTTTCTTCCATTCGGCGGAGGCCCGCGCATATGTGTAGGCATGAGAATGGCCCAGCTGCAGATAAAGGCAGGTTTGGCTATGATTGTGAGAAAATACAAGCTGAAACTGTCCCCAAAGACGCAAATTCCTTTAAAGTTCATTCCTGGCACCATATTACCAACACCAAAAGGCGGTATATTGGCCTATTTTCGGCAACTTTAAATATCTTCTTTTAATTTTTAATCGTGTATGTTTTTTATGAAGACAAAAGATTGTAATTTATTTTTATGTAAAAATACATTTAAAAAATAGTATTCTTTTCAAAAAACAAATCTTGTCAGTTTTAATATTGCATCCTTGCAATAAAAATTGGAAAGATATTTGGTATTTTATTACGCAAATATTTTCATAAATCCTTAATTAAGTAAGGGAATAAACAAGAGTGTAATCATATTCTTACAGAAATAAAAGATCAACGTAATTAGAATTATGTAATTTTTAAAATATTTTTTATATAAATGTTATAATGTATTGTAAATTCTTAGTTTATTAAGAAAATAAAAATTTTATCTTAGATTGCTGTATACTTTAAAAAAATAATAAGTTTAAAATTCTTGAATTTTTGTAATTAAAAAAAATGTATTTTTATAACAAACAATAATAAGTTCTCTCTTGCTAACTTTGACTATTGTTTTGATACGAAATAGTCAAAAGTATATTTAAATGGATATTTTAAATGAATCAAATTTGTTCTAATGTTAATTATTTAAAAATTTCGTAAGTTTTGTTTCGGTATTTTAGAATGTAACACATTTCAAAAATTAAAAAAAAGATTTAGAAAAAAAAATTAATATTTTCATATCCTAATACAAAAATCGTATTATATAAACACAATTAATTTAAAAAAATATTAAATTATAAAAATATATACACACTTTTTAACAAAAAAAGCCTAAGTCTATGCAAAATTTTTTAAGTTAAAAGATATATTCACGCTTCACGCACGATGTGCATGTGATGTATTATTTATTTTCACCAAATGTGAGATAAAGCTAAATAATGAATTACGTGTCTATCACTGAAACAAAGAAATATGATCAAAATGAATATATCTTTTGTGTAAAACGTACAAAATGTTTATACAAAATAGCGCACGGAAGGTGCCATTCGTGCCCCGGATATGATTGATTCGAGAATGATTAATTTCACAAGCAAATAGCAAATAAATAAAATACTTACACTTTGATAATCGTTTTTCACATCTTCTCCTTCTCTTCTCCCTCTTTCTCTCTCTCTCTCTCTCTCTCTCTCTCTCTCTCTCTCTCTCTCTCTCTCTCTCTCTCTCTCTCTCTCTCTTATATCTTATCTGTTCCATCGTGGCTTTCATCATCGTGGCGTCATCATTAAGAAATATTTAACATTTGGAATTATTTTGGCATCGGATAAATACATAGAATCCTACTTTTAGATGACATTATATAATCAGTAATGTATTTCATTGATGATACTGTTATGCGTCATATACAGTGCTGAATTGCAATTTATCTCGAACTTCTACATACTTATTTTCATAAAAGCTTCATTTATCAAAGTAATAGAAAAGCATAAAACATAACATCATTGAACTACTGAAATTTATATAGAATGAGTTTTCAGAGATTTGTGCATAAGATTACAACGTGCTTTTCAAAATTTATTATTATAAAAGTTTTAAATATATTATTAATATCTTAATAGAATTAGACTTTTAGACTTATCTCTTACCATTTTGTCTAAATAAGTCAGAAA